TTTCCAGGGTTGTATATCTTTACAGAAGTAGAGTGCCTTACCTTTCTCCCACAGAGCAGCTGGTGGGTTCAAACCACTGACCTTTGGTTACCAGCCAAATGCTTTACCCATCCCTCGACCAGAACACCTTTGGACATGTATTAAGTACTCAAAAAAGATAGCTATTATTACAGTTATACTATTTTCGTCTTCCACCACAGCAGGACAAACTGACAGATAAATTAAGAAGAGGACTTGAAACAAGAGATATCATTACTGATGTCAGATGAATCTTGGCTGAAAGCAAAAAATACCAGAAAGATATTTACCTGTGTTTTACTGACTATGGAAAGGCATTCAACTGTGTGGATCATAACAAGTTATAGATAACACTGTGAAGAATGGGAATTCCAGAACACTTAATTGTGCTCATGAGAAGCCTACACATAGACCAAGAGGCAGTCGTCATTCGAACAGAACAAGGGGACAGATACTGCATGGTTTAAATCAGGAAAGGTATGTGTCAGGGTTGTATCCTTTCAATCATACTTACTCAATTTGTATGCTGAGCAAATAGTCCAAGAAGCTAGGCTCTAAGAAGAACAACACAGCATTAGGACTGGAGGAAGATTCATTAACAACATGCATTATGCAGATAACACAACCTTGTTTGCTCATGAAGATCAGTGACTACAGCGGTTAATATAGATTACATCTCAGTATAAAGAAAACAAAATTCCTCACAACTGGACCAATAAGCAGTACCACGATAAATGGAGAAGATTAAGTTGTCAAGGATTTCATTTTACTTGGATTCACAAGCATCGCCAACGGAAGGAGCAATCAAGAAATCAAATGATGTATTGCATTGGGTAAATGTGCTGCAAAAGACCTCATTAAAGTGTTAAAAAGTAGATGACACTTTGAAAACTAAGTTGCACCTGCCCCAAACCACTGTATTTTCAAAAGCTTTACATGCTTGTGAAAGTTGGACAGTGAACAGGGAAAACCACAGAAAACTGATGCATTTGAATTATGATATTGGCAAAGAAGACTGACTATAGCACAGATTGCCAGAACAAATAAATCTGTCTTAGAAGAAGTACAGTCAGAATGCTCCTTAGAAGCAAGAATGGTCAGACTTTGTCTCCATTATTTTGGTCAAGTTATCAGGAGAGACGATTTCCTAGAGAAGGGTATTATGCTTGGTAAAGTAGAGGGTCAGCGAAAAAAGGGGGAGACCCTCAATGAGATGGACTGACGTAGTGGCTGCAACGACAGGCTCAATAGCAATGATTATGAGAATGGCAAAGGACTGGGCAGTGTTTTGTTCTGTTATACACAGGGTTGCTGAGAGTCAAAACCAATTCCATGGCACAAAACAACAAAAACATTTCCTTCCTGGATTCCTACTGGGATGAAAAATCTAAAGTTTCTATTCTAAAAAGGAAAATAGGGAGAAGAAAGAATACCTCCAAACGAACTCCAATGCTCACAGAAATAAGAACTACCTTAAAAATATATATATACCTATGTATTTTATAGAGCAGCTCTTGTGGCACCCTGGTTAAAGCACTGGGCTACAAACAAAAATGTTAGTGGTTCAAAACCTACTAGCCACTCTGCTGAAGAAAGAGGTGGCAGTCTCCTTCTGTAAAGATGTACAACCTTGGAAACCCTATGGGGCAGTTCTACTCTGTCTTACAGGGTATCTATGAGTCAGAAGCCACTCTATGGCAGTGGATTTGCTTTAAATGTATTTTGTATCACTGAAAAGCCATCTGCCCCTAATTATAAGGAGGGTAAGGAAAAATTCCTACATAGATTTCTTAGAAAACAGGCTTGACAAAAAAAAGTTAATGACAAAGACATTCATCAGGTATGCTTGCCAAATTAATGTTTTTTGCCTTTATAAATCAAATCACTCTGCTTTAAATTTAGTCTAGAAACTAAGCAAAAAAATCTCTATGGTAAAATTTCATGTAAAAAAATTTCAGCATTCAAAGCATACATCTGAAAGAGAACTCAGGTTTAGAATAAATAACCTAAGGCATCTGGCTGCTATCCAGAAGGCTGGCAGTTCAACCCACCAGTCACTCCTTGGAAGGAAGGTTGGGCAATCTACTTCCATAGTGATACTGCCTCGGAAACTCAAGGAGGGGTCGCTATGAGTCAGGGGCGACTCGACGGCACATAACAACAACAACAACATCCACATGTGTATAATATGTACAAATCTTGCTATGTCCAAGAACATCCATGCAACTTTATTCATAATAGTCAAAACACTGGAAACTGAAATATCATCCATAACAGAAGAAAAGGTTTTAAAAAACAGTGGTTTTATTGAGACAATGGAATACTACTAAGCAATTTATGCAAAAGTCACTTATATACTCCCAGAATGGATGAGGTAAAAAAAAATCTGATGCAAACAAATACATACATATAGTCATTGAAATGAAGTTCAAGAAAAAGGAAAACTATTTATTTATGGAGAAAAAAGGAAGAATATTAGTTACTTCAGGGTAGAAAGGGTATAATTATAACTAAAAAAGTACAAAGAGAGATGACTTTTTGGGGTGCTGGATATGTTATTGCTCAGTGGTGGCTGCAGCAGCATATGTAATATAAAATGTTATCAAATTGTACACTTAAAAGTTGTCTATTTTACCCTACGCAAAATATAGTTAATTGAAAAATAAATTAGAAACATAAAAAAATTTCATTTTGTCCTCAAAAAAAATTTTTGGAGGAAATTAAAAAATATCAATTACCATTCCCATATAATTGTAGCTATTATTTCTAGGAAGTCAGAAAGGAAAGAAATACCAATTCACATTGGTTAATACTGTAATTAAAAAAAAAAAAATTCACCAATATTATACGTGAGCAATTTAAACTAATATAGTTTCGTTTTTTAAAAAAACTTTTTAGGTTTTAAATATATGCATAATAATAAAAGCTTAATGTGAAATATAAAGCACATGACACCAGCATATATAAAACATTAATCAAACATACCAGATTTTGTTCACAGCTAATCTTTTACACATTATATAATTACTGGGTTTCTATTTAGGAGCAGATGTCAGCATTTTCATGGCACCAGAAAAAAACAGAATCAAATACAGATACTCCATGTCTTTAATTTATCTGTATGAATAGCAACACCAAAAGTACTTAAAGCTCCATATTCTTAAATCGTTTTGGACAAACAGTTCAAAGAACTTCAAAAGAGGAACTAGAAAGATAATGTTACGACCAAGAATTATATATTCCACATTTGAGTTGCCAAGAAAAGAAAATAATCAATTAAATGTACCCTTATGAACTCTGTATGCTACACATTCTCATTTTTCTATGCCCCTATTCCTAAACCCAAGGAGGGGTCGCTATGAGTCAGGGCCGACTCGACGGCACTTAACAACAACAACAACAATTCCTATTATGAGTACAATGTTTTTCCCCATCCTTCCATGCCTGGGGAGCACTTCTCTGGAACGCATCTCAAATGTTGTATTTCCAGTAAAGACTCCACTGGTTCTTTCAGGCAGAATTAATGTCTTCTTTTTATGGTACCTACTGTGTGTGCTATTTTAAATGCGTTCTACTATGACAGTCAAAACTATTCTTGTATTTGGCCTTCTAGCCCCAGCACTGTGGTTGTTATGTTGATGGGCACTCAACAAATGCTGACTAAATAATTATATCAACAAAATGGAGGGAATGAGAATATTAGTTCTTTAAACAATAAAAATCATATCTGGAATTAGATGATCAGAAAGAATACTAATACTCTAAGCTAGTAAAAATCATTTCCTATGATTTCATGGTCAAACACTATTCTTCCCCTATGTTTTTCAGTAACAGCTTTATAGAAGTATCATTCACCTTTTATAATGCTTTAACATTTCTTAAAGAAGTTCCATGTTTTATCTCACTGATAAATCTCAAACATTATTCAGGATTCTGAGTAATCCACTCATAATCCAGGTTTGAGATTTGCATACCACTAGAGAAATTTCTTCCTAAAGATAAACAATTCAAAAATGTTGAAAATATATACCCAATGTTCACTGCAGTACTATTCAAAACAGTACAAAAGTGAAAACAAACTAAATGTCCATCAGCTGATGAACAGATAAAACACTACACACACTCACATACATATACATATATATACACACACACAACAGAATATTTTTGAGCCATAGAGAAATGAAGTTCTGATATATGTTTAACATGGATGAACCTTGAAAAGCATTATGCCAAGTGAAGTAAGTAAAGCACAAAAGGACAAAGGTTATATGATCCAACTTATATGAAATATCTAGAAGAGATGAATGTATAGATACCAAAGTTTATCAGTGGTTATCTGGGATGGAAAGGAGAAAGGGGAAAGGGGGGACACATTGCTTAGGGATACTGAGCTTCTGTTAAGGGTGACAGAAAATTGTGTGGAAACAGACAATGATAATGGTCCAACAACATGATAAACTTAAGTCAAGTTAATGAACTATGTATGTGAAGATGTTAAAATGTTATGTTACAATACATTTACCATAAAAAAAAACGTTAAAAACAAAACCAGTAACGTGCACAAAGGCACTAAATATTGCTTACAACTTGCAGAAAACCAGTTTAAATCCTTGGATGCTTATACAAGGATCTACCAAAATCACACTTCTGGAAATGTAAAATGAATAAAAAATAAACAAGAGAAAGGTTTTATACATTACATAGCACACCCTGATCTGTCAAAAAATGTAATTATGGCCAAGAAGAATTTAGATACACAATGGACATCTTTGCCTTTGAAGTGAAGTCATTTAAGGAAAAAAGCCTTATATTTTCTCCTTTGTGCCAAAATTAAAAATAACTTTGGGTCAAAAGTATAATAGTTCTATTCGTATATTAGAAAAACAATACAAAGCTCTTGGGAATCAAATAACCACACCTGTATTTTCATTGTAAATCTCTAGAAGCATTAATGGTAAAACTGAATTATCATTCCTTACCTTTGTGATGAGAATTCGGTATTTTTCTACCAGGTGGTCATTGTTGTGACAGCCTGCTAGTAGCTGCCAAACCTCTCCTCGAAGAGCTTCAGGGACACCGCTTCTTACTAAAGATGACAACTGCTTTGGTCGCACACTTAAGTTGAGATGCCTGAAAATAAAGCGAAAGCCCTTAAGTGCACAAAAGGATGATTATCTAATAAAAAAAAAAGAAAAGTGCTACTGGATTAGATGTAGCCAAGATGATTGGAGTCCCTGGATGGTGCAAACTGTTCAGTGCTTGACTATTAGCTGAAAGGCTGGCAGTTTGAACCCACCTAAAGGTGCCTCAGAAAACCGGCCTGGCAGTCTGCTTCCAAAATGTCAAAAGTGTCACCATGAGTTGGAATCAAGTAGATAGCAATTAACAACAGCAAGATAAATATAAAACACTGGGTGAACGACACAGTAAATATCTACATGGATGTTATAGTCAATCTGCTTTACAATTATCTTTAAATCACTGCTTTACTTTTAAAAAGAAAAAAGCAAAATTGGACACCATAGAAATCAAACCAGAGGGTTGTGGTTTATGGAACAAGTACATATCAAAATGCCAACCACCGGACACAGTCAAAGAGAAAGCCTTGGCACTACATCAAAACTGACAAATGAATTAAGCATATATATGCTCTAATATATGACACAGTGGCATCAACAATGGTCTCAAGTATAGTAAAGACTGTGAGGATCACATACGACTGGGCAGTGTTCTATACATAGGGTTGCGATGCACTGGAACTGACTTGACGGCACCTAACAACAACAACATGTTCTAAGTTTGCTTTCCTCATGGAAGATGTTCTTGATGTCATCCCACAACACATCTGCTCTTCAGTCACTGGTACTCAATGCATCAAATCTGTTCTTCAGATGGCTTCTAAATTCAGGTAGGATATACTCAAAGTCATTTTTGGCTTTTGTGGACTTGTTTAATTGTCTTCAGCTTCAACTTGAACTTGCATATGAGCAACTGATAGTCTGTTCCACAGTCAACTCCTGGCCTTGTTTTCACTGATAAGGAGCTTCTCCATCACCTCTTTCCACAGAGGCAGTCGATCTGATTCCTATCTATTCTGTCTGGTGAGGTCCATGTGTATAGTCGACACTTATGTTCTTGGAAAAAGGTATTTGTGACGATTAAGTCATTGGTCTTGCAAAATTCTATCATGAAATCTCCATCATCATTCCTATCACCCAGGCCATATTTTCCAACTACTGGTGATTCTTCTTTGTTTCCAACTTTTTCATTCCAATCACCAGTAATAACCAATACATCTTGATTGCATGTTTGGTCAATTTCAGACTGCAGAAGTTGGTAAAAAATCTTCAGTTTCCTCATTTTTGGCTTTAGTGGTTGGTGCATAAATTTGAATAATAGTATTATTAACTGGTCTTCTTTGTAGGCGTATGGATGTTCTTCTATCATTGACAACTCTGTATTTCAGGATAGATCTTCAAACATTCTTTGTGACAATGAATGCCACACTATTCCTCTTCAGTTATGTCATTCAAAGCATAGAATATCATATGATTATCTGATTCAAAGTGACCAAAACCAGTCTATTTCAGCTCACTAATGCCTAGGGTCCCCAGGAGCGAGGTAAGCACAGGTGGGCTTGTGCTTAGTAACCGGGAGTAAGGTAAGCACAGGCGGGCTTGTGCTTACTCACTGATCTGCACTGAACACTTTCCCTTGTTACCCGCCCGAGAGGGACCGGGTCTCCGGGAGCAAGGTAAGCATGGGCGGGCTTGTGCTTACTCCCCAGGAGCGAGGTAAGCACGGGCGGGCTTGTGCTTACTCACTGATCTGCACTGAACACTTTCCCTTGTTACCCTCCCAAGAGGGACCGGGTCTCTGGGAGCAAGGTAAGCACGGGCGTAGCACAGAGTAGCAGGCTGGAAGAGCAGGAGAAAGGGGTAAAACCCAGGAAGCCAAA